GTCAGAATTTAAAATAGAATTAAAAACTTACCTCTTCTGGCAAGCCTACCCAGATCATCACCATCACCATCTTTGTATGATTTGTCCATGAATGCAATAATGTCTCTAATGTTCTACAAAGATCTTTGCACAGCACTTTCCCAATATCAGTTATTTGAATAGTATTTTGAGAAGCCTTGAGGAATTATTCTGCACAGAAATACATGATTTATTAGTTTTCCCCAGAAACACATGGTGTTCTCTGTGCAAAACACATTGCTTCTTGTGCAAGAAGCCTATGTGTGCGTGTAAGAAACACATTTTTGAGCCCAATCAGCTTCATACTTGTATGCTGCCAGCAGTGCCACAGAAGCATTAACACCAGATTTAAAGTAAATTGTGATGAAATAAAAACGTTGACCAAAGATAAGCCTCTAGAAAAATAAAACAAACTGACTGTTCATTCAGTTTTTAAAGAGGTAAAAAGGAGAGTATGATTTAAACATGAATAGTTTGTTATTTCAGCTTGGCTAACTATCTATATAAATAAAAATGTAATGTTAGTTCGTGCTACCATCAGAACTCAAAAACCACTGGGGGAATTGACACCAAATTTGGACACAAGACACCTAACAGTCCAATTTATGTCCTCCACTCAAAAAATGGATTTTGTCATTTGGGAATTGTCGTTGCTGGGATTTATAGTTTACCTACAATCAAAGAGCATTCTGAACTCCACCAATGATGGAATTGGGCAAACTTAACACACAGGGTTCCCACGACCAACAGAAAAAACTGGAAAGGTTTGGTGGACATTGACCTTGAGTTTGGGAATTATAGTTCACCTATACACAGAGAGCACTGTGGACTCAAACAATGATGGATCTGGACCAAACTTGGCACGAATATTCCATATGCCCAAATATGAACACAGATGGAGTTTGGAGGAAATAGACCTTGACATTTGGGATTTGTACTTACTGGGATTTATAGTTCACCTACAATCAAAGAGCATTCTGAACTCCACCAATGATGGAATTGAACCAAACATGGCACACAGGACTTCCATGACCAACAGAACACACTGGAAGGGTTTGGTGGGCATTGACCTTGAGTTTGGGAGTTGTAGTTCACCTACATCCAGAGAGCACTGTGGACTCAAACAATGATGGATCTGGACCAAACCTGGCACAAATATTCCATATGCCCAAATATGAACATAGATGGAGTTTGGAGGAAATAGACCTTGACATTTGGGATTTGTAGTTACTGCGATTTATAGATCCCTACAATTAGAGAGCATTCTGAAACCCACAAACGACAGAACTAGGGCAAACTTCCCACACAGAACCCTCATGACCAAGAGAAAATACTGAAGGCCATCCAGTCCAACTCTCTTCACCAGGGCAAGAAAACGTAATCAGAGCCCTCCTGACAGAGAACCATCCAGTCATAAATATAGATAGATAGATATGATTCTCACACAGACACACAGATATAGTATCACAAATTTGAAAGAGATTCTTAAAGAAGGACTATGATATGTTGCATATGCCAGAGTAGGCAAACCAGACACTCTCCACATCAATACTGACAAAGAAACAACAAGAAATAATGTTTACTCACAAGCAGAAAGGAATTATATAGATTAGAAACCAACACTTTCTCATTACTTTATTTTCCAGATCACCAGACTGGGCCACAGCAACGCCTGGCAGGGGACAGCTAGTAAATAAATAAATACTGAAAGGACCAAGGCAGTGACATCTCCAGCCCATCCCTTGTTTGGGTATCAGGCAGCATGTCAACGACTTAAATCAAGAAATAGTTTTGTAAGATCTACAGAGACACTCGGTGGAACACCTCAGCAAGCGAGAATCCAAAAGTGGCAGGCTCAAACTCATTTGGCTGATACCAAATGAGAGACTCCCCCTTGGGCACACAGAAGACTGGGCGACTTGGACGGCGCTGAACAGACTGCGCTCTGGCACCACGAGATGCAGAGCCAACCTTCAGAAATGGGGCCACAAAGTGGAGTCCACGACATGCGAGTGCGGAGAGGAGCAAACCACTGACCACTTGCTGCAATGCACCCTGAGCCCTGCCACATGCACGATGGAGGACCTCCTTGCGGCAACACCAGAGGCACTCCAAGTGGCCAGATACTGGACAAAGGACATTTAATCAACTACCAAGCTTGCAAAATCTGTGTTTTGTTTGTTTGTTTTGTTAAAAATGTAAATAAATATAACAAAATAATATTAATAACAAAATAATAATTTAATCTATATAAATAAAAATGTAATGTTCCTTTCTGATATTAACAGAACTCAAAATCCAATGGACGAATTGACACCAAATTTGGACACAAGACACCTAACAATCCAATGTATGTCCTTCACTCAAAAAACATTGATTTTGTCATTTGGGAGTTGTAGTTGCTGGGATTTATAGTT